GTATGATACCTCTGCTCACAGTGTCCAGTGATTCACTACAAATAATCCCGTGATGAAGATTCCTAATAAGAAAAAGTCATAAGGGGTGCCTGGGTGGCTCAGTCGGTTAAGCATCCGACTTCAGCTCAGGTCATGATCTCATGGTTTGTGAGTTCGAGCCCCACGTCGGGCTCTCTGCTGACAGCTCGGAGCCTGGAGCCTGCTTTGGATTCTCTGTCTCCCTCTCTCTCGGGCCCTCCCCAGTTTGTGCTCTGTCTCTGTCTTTCAAAAATGAATACATGTTAAAAAAATTTTTTTAATAAAAAAGTCATGAAAATAAAGTGTGGGGGAGGGCGGGGAGAGGAGGGAGGAAAAAAGAAATGGTCACTAAAATTTTAGAAATGAATCTCCTTGAAATAATATTTTCAGTGAAATGATTGGTTTTCTTCTCGCATTGAACCTGGGGGGAAATATTATTCCAGTTTCTATCAGGCCTGGTTCTTTTTTTGCCCATTAAAAAAGTCCAGAAAAGAATCATCTGTTTATCGGTGAGGATCCTCAAATATTCTGCTCTGCTCCATGCATGGTATATTTTTCATGTTTCTTTCTAAAAGACCCTGCAATGGGTTAAAATTTCTGAACTAAAATCTTGGAATCTAGAATTCTTGGTGTATAACTTTGTATATAGTCGTGTTCCAGGAATGGCATTTGTTATCTGATGGAGGTTTGTGAATTGATTCACGTTTCTTGAAGTAAGTGCTAGCTTTACAGAGACTTGTTCACTGGCAAAAAAAAAAAAAAAAAAGCGTACAGATGTAGGAATAATTAGCATTTTAGAAATGGAGTGAGGAAGGCACTATTCATCTATAAGTACTGGTGGCATTAGGACAGAGAGTGGCTAATAAGAGAAATAGAGCTAGGATGACAGAAGAAGTAAACAAAACAAAACAAAACAACTCAGCTAGAACCAAACAGCTATCTCTCTGATCATTTAGACAAAAGATCTTACCAACACTTGTGTGGATTTGGTAGTTAACTCCAGAACCAGATGTGGCTATGTGCGTTTAGTATTTGTAAGTATTTTACTTTTTATATTTTAACATTTTTTTTTTAAATGGTTATTTTTGACAGAGAGAGCATGAGGGAGGGAGGGACAGAGATAGAGGGAGACACAGAATCTGAAGCAGGCTCCAGGCTCCAAGCTGCCAGCACAGAGCCCGATGCGGGCCTCGAACTCACGAACAGTGAAATCATGAGTGAGATCATGACCTGAGCTGAAGTCAGACGCCCAACTGACTGAGCCACCCAGACACCCCATTACTTTTTATATTTTATTCTCAAGTTCACTTGCATTAAGTATATAAACAATTCAGTTTATAGCAGATCAGTGAATCTCAAGTATCTTTTACTTATCTTTATTGAATTCTAAATTAAAGGAACCACTTCTGGTGTTAAGGAAAGGAACCTAGGGTTGCAGGATTTTCTTTACCACAATACCTGGGATTTGTTGTCTCGCCGCTTGGAAGAATGGAGGGGTGGACACAGAATGAGCAGCGGGCAAAAGTTTATTAGAGTATAAGCTTAGAAAGGGAGAATAGTAGGAAAGCTCTCTTTACAGAGAGGGGACTTGCGAAAGCGAATGCCTGTGACTCTAGACAAGGGTCCTTGTTTTATAAGGTTCTGGTCAGCGCCCACCTCCCCTTCCCCCTCGTTCCTTCCCAGGTCCTAACCCTATTGGCCAGATAGCTCTGGGTGTTGGGTTGTCCATTCCTGATTGGCTCGTGTCCATTGAACCAAGGGTGGCCTATGGCCTCACTTAGGTCTTTTGTCAAACTCCTGAGAGGAACCCTGAGGGGGAGTAGGTGGGGGTCTTACAGTCTTAAGAGGAAACTTGAGGGGGTTTGCTGTGTTCAGACATGCCTAGCATTATTCCAAAATGGGTGTCCCCCCCCCACCCCCGTCCCTCAGGAACCTCAGGCTCTAATCTTTCCCTCTCTGCCTAGTGAAACCTATTGTCTCCTATCATACTAGTCAACCTGCTCCTGTATTTTTTTAGAGCAGGCCCTATGCCCGATGTGGGGCTTGAACTCATGACCCTGAGATCAAGAGTCACATGCTCTATAGACTGAGCCAGCCCGGTGCCCCTGGCTGTATTTTTTTAAAGTGGATAATAGTGGCTGTGTAACAAATGACCCCTACCTTAGGAGCTTAAAGCAACGTTTATTCTCTCCCGAAGTTTCTGAGGGTCAGGAATCAGGGAATGGCTTAGTTCAGTGTTTCTGCCTCAGGGTCTCCAGAGGTTGCTGTCAAGCTGTCGGGCTGAGGGACTGTGGTCACCTCATAGCTCGCCGAGGGCTGGAGAATTCACTTCCAAGCTCACTCATATGATCTTCAGCAAGTCTGACCTAAGAGAGAGTGAGCAAGCCAAGTGAGCACATCAGATGGAAGACACAGTCTCTCACAATCTTGGCAGTGAAATACCATCACTTCTGCTGTATGCTGTTGGTCATACAGACCAACTCTGGGTCAAGTGTTGAAGGGGATTGACTATACAAGAGTGTGCGTATCAGGAAGCAGGGATCACTGGGGGCTACTAGGAGGCCAGTGGCCATGGAAGCTATCAGATCTCTGATATTTATATCCCATTGGGTAAATCTGAAAGAAGGACTTTTAACAAATTCAACTTTAAAAGTGTTTATATTATGCTGGAAATTTCATCCTTTCATCCTGATCAATTCTTTTTGGGATAAGAGAATAAAAGCTTGGAGACAACTGGCTCAGACTCCTAGTTTTCCTATCCAATATGTCCCTCTTATCATGTTCCTCTGACTCTTTACCTCCCCCACGTGGTGCTCATTCATCTTATTTTACTTATTTATTTATTTATCTTATGGACAATGAGAAATGAAAGACAAACATCAAATTGGAATTTGGGTCCTGATTTGTAAACGGGAGAGATTGCTTCGAATTCCTGAAAATCTAGGACTTCTGGTTATGAAAAAGAAAGTAGACCAGGAGCTTCACTTTTACCGGGCCACTGGGCAGGCATAGCTGGTAAAGCAGAAGACTCCTGGATTGTGAGTTCAAGCCCCACACTGGACATGGAACCTACCTAAAAAAAAGGGCTGCCTGGGTGGCTCAGTTGTTTAAGCATCTGACTTCGGCTCAGGTCATGATCTTGTGGTTTATGGGGTTGAGTCCTGCATTGGGCTCTGTGCTGACAGCTTGGAGCCTGGAGCCTGCTTCGAATTCTTTGTCTCCCTCTCTCTCTCTGCCCCTCCCCTGGTTGCACTCTGTGTCTCTCTTTCAAAAATAAACAAACACTAAAAAAATTAAAAATGGCATTTATGAAACAGATAGCTAAGTGTTTTCTATGAGCAAGTGTAGAGCCGTGGAAGACACTGAAAGAATATAAATGAAGATCTAAATAAAGTTTATAAGCTGGAGAGTATGGTGCCTAGGTGTTCAAGAAAAAAAAAATTGTACACAATGGTCACATTTTCTGGGGAAACAATTTTTTTATTTTTAAAAACTGTTTTATTTTTATTTTGGGAGAGTGCACACAAGCAGGGGAAGGGCAGAGCGAGAGGGAGGCGGAAGATCCAAAGTGGGCTCTGCTCTGACAGCAGAGAGCCCCGATGCACAACTCGAACTCTTGAATCGTGAGACCGTGACCCTAGCCAAAGTTGGATGCTTAAACTGACAGCCACCCAAGATACAGTTTTTTCTTAAGTTGGGTACAATTTGCAGAGGCAAAATTCTGCCTACCTTTGACTAGGCATGCAATCAGTGTTTCTATTTAATGAAGGCCTACCTCAGATGAACCAGTTGCAGTGAAACCAAAAATGCACAAAGCCAGTAACTATGGATAACAACGGTTGGAAAAGATGCTGAGGTTTTACTGAGGCCCTACCGCAATGAACCTAAATTTAAACCATCGTTTGTGTATTTTATTAGGAGCTAGCCTTGAAAGTTCACCAAGCAAGGCTATATTCTATTCCCAACAAGTTATCACTTCATAATGGAGAAAAGGCTGTTCCACTCACTCTTAAGTGGGAAATGTGTTATGTCCTACTTGTATAAATTTTAGTTGAACCAAAATAGCAATACGCATCAAATGTTATTAGAATGTTTTCTTCAATACTATAAACACTCAACTACTAAAATTATGCGAAGGATTGCAACACAAGATACAAACTGCTTTGGGAACTCTCCAATCTAAGCTAAAGGAACCAAGCAAGACTGACTTTTTAGAAAGTTGGCTGGAAGATTCTAGCTCCTGTACTCACAGATGTGGAGGAGTTAGGGCTAGGATCCTAGTTTGTGTAAAAGCTTGCAGACCCTCTACCTACAGCGGGGCCAACGAGAAAACTCGCGTCCAGAAGACTACCTTTCATTTCCCGCCACCAAGCCTTGTTGATCACGAGGGACGCCGCCGGTGGCCGCACGTTAGGCGCGGACGGCCCGCCTGGACACCCCACTTGCGTCCGGGAGGCTGGTCTCCCAGGACCCTGGCGCGTGGACAGAGATTCTCCCGGGTCAGAAGCTGGGCCGCCTCCATCCGGCGTCCCAGCCCAGGCGCCCCTCGCGGTAGGCCCCGGGCCGCAGGGCGCTTTCTACAGCCGTGGAGTGAAAAGCGTAACGGGGATCCTAACCAGACGTGGGACTCAGACGACGGAGGCGGCCCGACGCGCCTCTGAGGGCCTAGTCACGAGCTCCCGCCTCCCTCGCGGCGGTCACCCGAGGACAAAGGCGAGGCCCAGATGGGTCGAGTCAGGCCGTGTAGGCGCCGGCCGCGCCCCTGGGGAGACGGAGCGGGAGGGCGGAGGGGCGGTGAGGGGGCGGGGCGCCGGCACGGGGCGGGGCCAGCGAAGGCCTCCCGGCATGCCGCGCAGGGCCAGGCTTCCGGCTGTGGGCGGTGTGGGGGCCGGAGGCGGCCGGAAGCGGGTTGAGCCGCCCTCTCCGAGCGCTTCCTGCACTTCCGGGGACCTGGAGCCGAGGTCTAGAGTCTTCCGGTAGGCGGCGCGGGAGGAGTCAGAGTCTTGAGGGGCCGGGCCGGGCGGATTCCCTTCTCTCCCAATGTGAGCAGTGTCCTGAGCGCCCCCCCCCGTCAGGCGAAGGCTGCCCAGAGAGCTGGAGCCGGTGGCCGGGCCGGGAACATGAGGCAGTGTCTCCTCTTCCTGACCAGCGTGGTTCCTTTCGTGCTGGCGCCGCGACCTCCGGACGGGCCGGGCTTCGGCTCCCCGCAGCGACTCGGTAAAGACCCGGGAGAGTTGGCTTAGACAGGCGCCGGGCGCCTGGAGCGCGCTGCTTTCGGGGAAGAGCAGGGGAGCAGGATCTTTCAGGTGTTTGGGGGCGGGGTGTTGGAGGACGGTGGCGCGTCCCTAAGTTTTCAGTGCAGGAAGGGGGTGTGGCTCTCGGAGTTTAGGGAAAGTAGGAGGACCGGCTTGACTTTCTGAATGGGAAAGGGATACTGGAAGGGCCCCCTGGGTGACTGAGGCCCGGGGAGGGGTCGGCCTCCTGAGTTTGTGTTTGGGGAGTAGTTCGGGAAAGAGGGAAGCGCGGGGCGGGGGGGGGGCGGGGGGGGGAGGTGTTGGCTCGTGTTTGGGGAGGGAGATGTGGTGCAGGTCCCTGTCCTACTAAGGGGTTCCTACCAAAGCCGGGACTTGGTGGAGGATGGGAAGGGCCCAGAACCCCACAGCTCTCCCTGGCTCTCCAAAATGAACTAGAATTTCTGCTGTAGGAGGTACTTAAGTAGTAATCTGGTTGGAAGGCGGAGACCGGAGAGCTCAATCTTGAACTTGTGTTTTGCGATCTTTTAAGCAGGTACTTATTTAAATTGTAGCTTATTGGAGGTGCTGGGAGGAGGTGCTTAAACCTACCAAGAGGACTTTTTGATGCTGCGTGAAAGCCTTCCTTGCCATTTTAAAACAAAGAAGTTCTCAGAGACGACCAGTTTGGTCAGTTTTGAGCCCAGAAAGTAGAGGGTTCTTATTTAGATTTTCTAAAGAGGCTGGATTTTCAGGATGGACGTATATTCAGAGATGTGAAGTTCGTGTAAAGTTACAATGTCCTAGGGTCTTTTACCTTCCAAAAGCTGACATGTAACACAGTTTAATTAGTAATTACATATGAAGCCTAGTATATTTTCCCAGTGTGCAGGGTTGATTTTTTCATAGTTGTATTGGTCCCCAAATACCACCATGATTCCATATATAGTGTTGTGAAGATTGAGACACCACGTGGGCTTTCTTTATAGCTAATTAAAACCTTCACATTAGTTTGCCTGGCAATTCTTTTATTTAAGGGGAAGAAATTGTAATTGACTGAGAGGGTATTAAAGGTGTTGAGTGTCCTCCCTGGAACAACTGCTTTGTGGTTATCTCAAATTGAAATGGATTACAGGTGAGTAGTTTAATGAACGACAAGGGAGCTCGTTAGGAAGGGCCGAGATGCGATAAGTCAGTACAGACTGAAGGGGAACTTTGAGGTAGGGGTGGTCAGGATGGAGGGATAGGGTAAGGATCTACGTCGTAAGGGTAAATGTTAATAAAAAGAACGGGTGTTTTGAGATATTAAAATGATATTTTCACCAGTATAACACGGCTGTTTCACTTTTATTAACACGCTCTTGTTCACAGCTGGAAAGTCAGTAGCATGTGAATCCTAAGGGTGCGCACAGAGTGGAGGAAAACCTTACTCTCTAGATGAACCCTCTACAACATTTACAGATCGTAGAGGGTGTGTGTGTGTGTGTGTGTGTGTGTGTGTGTGTGTGTTTGACGGTGTGCTTTGTATTTGTGAGGTGGCTATCACTAGTGCCAGGAAAATGCATAGACTTATCCATGTATTCACCAAATGTTAAATTTTTTTTTTTCAACGTTTATTTATTTTTGGGACAGAGAGAGACAGAGCATGAACGGGGGAGGGGCAGAGAGAGAGGGAGACACAGAATCGGAAACAGGCTCCAGGCTCTGAGCCATCAGCCCAGAGCCCGACGCGGGGCTCGAACTCACGGACCGCGAGATCGTGACCTGGCTGAAGTCGGACGCTTAACCGACTGCGCCACCCAGGCGCCCCATCCAGATGTTAGAAGAACACGTAGCGTATGCAAGTATTACGTGTGGCGCTAGCAATAGGAAGATGAACAATGTTCATCTTGACGAAGCTTTTGCATCAGTCGTGTAGAGGTCCAAACGGACAGTTCCAAAGCAACATGGAGGAGACTGATACAAGTGCCTCATGGCAAGTATTGTTACCACGAGGAGGCACCCGACCTGGCCTGGGAAGGTTATGGAAGCTCCCTGAGGGAGGTGATACTCAGAGCCCAGACTTTAAGTTTAGGTAGATGAAGAGGGAAAATAAGGACACTCCTGGCGGGGGCACTTAGAGGCTGTAGAGTTGCAAGGAATCTTCGAGATCATGTTTTAGTTTTTAAAATAAAACAGAAAAAAATGAATCTAAGGAAGGTGTAGTGAGTTGTCCCGTTGTCACAGTGATAAATATATGCCTTGTGGGTATTCTTTCTTTTGAAGAATAACTCTGTGTGTGTGTGTGTGTGTTTGCTGGCTTAGGATGTGATTGGTTGCTTAACTGCTCAAGATCAAAGAATAGTTTTATAGTTAAAGAGCATGGCTTATGGTAGCCTACTTATTCTATAAATGCTACTGTAACCTCAGTATTACTTTTCTTAAGTAAATTCTACCCCCGACATGATGCTCGAACTCACAACCCCAAGATCAGGAGTCACATGCTCTACCGACTGAGCCAACGAGGTGTCCTTCGGTACTAAATATTGATTGGGATTTGACAACAGTCTTTGAAGGATAGAAATATATACTAGAATCCTGGCTTTTGAAGTACTCCATGGGACACCCAAGATGATTTCGATTGAACTGTTATGAATTGCATAATTCAGGAAAGTTATGAGTCATGTGAACTTAGTCACGATGATATCTTGTTGAAGTTGCGGCTGGGGTGTATAAGTCTCACTCTGATTTCAAAAGTGTTTTCCTTTTGTGTTACTTTTAATAAAAGAGGATGTAGTGGGTGGAGGGAAAAAAATATAGGTCATAGATGAGGGATGAAAGTTTGTATCAGAAACGTTTTGAAATTTACCTTGAGGTTATTGGTGTGGGGATTCTCCACGTTGCAGTGCTTGTTTCTCATTATTGGCCACCATTTTGCTCAATGGTTTGACATCTGGCTTCCTCTTTTGATGTTAATTTTGCTTACAGGCTGCATTCCTTTGAAACCGAAACACTTAACCACCCTAACTGCTCCAAGAGAGATTTAATGCCAGTCTGCTTTGAACTAGTCAGAGAGATAAACTGTATTTCATTGAGAGAAATCCCTTTGGCCTTTAGAGTTTTCCAGAACAGTAAGTGTAGGTGTCCTCTGAGGCCAAGGGTGGTTGATTTTGGGGTTCTTTACCAATTTGTACTTGTGAGAGAGGGTGTTTTCAGTTAGAAGTATAATTTAAAGAAAGTCTGAAAAAAGACTGATAGAGGGAAGGAGGGACCAGAGTAGAGAATAGATTTTACTGAGGTAGGGAAGTGAAGTCAGATGCTTTTTTTTCTATCCCTTAACTTAGTCCTAAAATTCACCAAGGAGAGTGGTATCTCCCTCCCACACGTTTCGTTTCGTTTCGTTTCGTTTCGTTTCGTTTCGTTTCTTTTCTTTTCTTTTCTTTTCTTTTCTTTTCTTTTCTTTTCTTTTCTTTTCTTTTCTTTTCTTTTCTTTTCTCTTTCCTC